CAGGGACCTGTGTTTCTTACAGACATCTCTGCTTCCCCGAGCCCTCAGTGCGCTCTGGGGGTCTCTCTCCTCTTTTTGCTTCCCTTCTGACCAGACAGTAAAACTATCATTTTCCATGTCCTGGCCACCACGGGCGCAGAGGGCTCTGCGGAGCCCCTGGGCTGTGGGGGAGGCTGGGGCAGGCGGGAGTGCACAGCGCAGACCCCGCAGGTTTGCAGCAAGTTGCAAATGTTGCACGTGGCCGGAGCCCTTGTCCCCAGGGCCGTCCTGGGGCAGCTGCCGCGGCTCTGCCCTGCCCAGAGGCAGATGCAGGTGTGCGTGGGCGCCGGTGCCAGCCCCGTGGGGCTTTCCCTCCTGCACCTCCTGCTCTCAGCTGCTCTTATCGTATTTTTGGCTGAGAGGAAGAACTTGTGGCTGATTTGTGGTTAGAGCAGTTGACATTTCTATGTATTGTTAAATCATAATTGCTTGGTCGGAAGTGATTGAACATTAAAAATTAAATGCCCATGTCAGTTATGCTGGTGAACACACCTCTCTGCTTGTGGCTGGTGTTCACCTCCGCAAAGGTGTGTGAGGGTTTGGACCCGGCTGATACATGGAGAAGCCTGGTGATGTTAAAGCTGTGTTTTGTTCAATTGCGTGTTGGTGGACAGGGTCCTAATGGCTTTTATTTGCTCTTCCCTGTCAAATCTGTGGTGTATGAATATTAATGCCTTCCACTGAAATACGGAGGGTTTAGCTGTTTTCTAGGTTACGATGCGCAGAGCTCCTTAAGCAGGCGCAGGCGGCGTGGTTAGGAAGCGCATTAGTAACTGCACCGAGCAAAGGCTAAGCTGGGAGTTGGGAAACTGCGAGTGCCGCCTTCTTACAGCGACTGGTTGGAGGAGAAAAAGGCTCGGACAGAGGCTGCCAAAAGCACTCAGGGGCAGTTCTGCAGCAGCCACCGGCTGCCCATGAGGTGTTGTGTTTAGGGGCAGCATCTGAGAGTGAAGCCTGTTGCTCTCTGGGCTTGTTTGCCCTTCGCCACTGTTAGGTGTCACTACCCGTCTGTATTTTTGTTAGGGAGAAGCCCCTGAAGAAAAAGGCTACAAAGTAATGTATTCGATTAACTTAGCTTGCAATGTTCATGAGATTTGGAAAGGTATTTCCTTTTTAAAAAGTTCTAAGGTGCTCTCTATTTTGCAGATGCAACGCCCCTTTTCTGTCTTCCTCGTGGAGCAGAAGACCACCGAGGTCCGCTCGCTTCTTGGTTTTGTAACCGCAGCTCTAACGGCATTGCTGCGGCTGCAGAGCCACGCCAGTTTGCCGTTTCCTTTTGTATCTGGTAAAACCTGCTACAGTGAAAAAGAAATACCTCAGATGTTAGCGGTGACAGGGGTATTTTGTTCTTGCTACGTTTCCTGCAAGTGTCAGAATCTCTGCAACGCAAAATACTCCGTTACAGTCAACAAACTCTAAATCAAGCTTTAGTAGGACAACATGTTAAAAGGAACAAAATTTTTATTTTATATCACTCATACACACAATTTAAACTTCAATCTCGGTCCCATGGTTCCCGCAGTAAATATCTCCCTCCCCAGCCCCTATTATATAGTACTAACGGATTGCAGCTGGAATAGGGGGTTAGAAGAAAATCGGAACACTGGCTCTGATCACCATAAACCCATCAGCGAAACCTTTTCCTCACGTCTGATAATTTGCCAGCTTCCTCAAAAAGGAGCTGTAGCCAACGTTAATTAGGGTGGAATGTTTGCTATTTGCTTGTGCTTTAAAATAAATACAGATATACCTGAGAAAGTAGAAGAAAAGCCAGAGTGCCAGCTGAAGCACCTCGGGTACAGCAGCACACAGCGGTGGATCGCTCCCAGGAGCTTTTGTAGCGTGTATTCCTTTTGTCACTGCCTTTCAATACATCCTTCCTTATTTAAAACTTGATTCCTGAAACTTTATACCAGTAAATAGTCTTTAATTTGAAGCTCTGGGTAGCAGAATCAATATTTACAATATTTTTTGCAATTTATGCTATTCTGTTTATGTAAAAAATATTATTTCTGTTGCTCCATTTGAGGTAGGAATGAACATGATCTATTCCATGACTTTCCAGCAACTGAAAGAAGTAAGATTTAAAGGTAAGCACTAGACAATTTCCTAATATGACTGCTGAAATGGTCATATATGACAGATACTTTTGAGTGTCTCAGGATTCAGTATATTTCATACAAATAAACAAGCGTTATCTATTTTTTCCGAATTTCCATTGGCATTAATGTTCTTTTCTGAAAGAGTAAACTTGCTTTTTATTTTTTTAGAAGAAACTGGTAAAATTGGGTGAAACGTATTTGCTGATACAGAATTATGACAATAAGGGGGGGTATATATACACACACACACCACTCAGTGAAGTTACTCGCCATTTTTCTGACTTGCCTTCATGTGTTTTTAGCTAAGTTACATTTATGAATGCAGCATCTGTCATTAGTTTTCTGTTGTAACTTTCCCTCTCTGCGTGTGTTTGTATCAGAAGTCAGAGCATGCAGAAGTCAGGCTGTTCCAATTTTGAGACTGCATCATAAACTTTTAGCACAATAGAAAGAAATATAAATAGTATTCAGTCAATTAGAGCGTCTTCTTATCTCAAAAGCATTTAAATTGTAACCAGGAAATACCAGCTCACTGCACATAACACATTTCTAATTGCTAGAAAACATTTACAAACCCTTTCAGATGTAGGTTTTAGGAAGAAGTATCTCGTGGGGGCAGACTCCAGCATTTCTAAATAGTCAGGCCTGACAAAATGAAATACGGGCTGTAATTCTGCAACTTCTGCTAGATGAGGAAAAAATAACTGAGCGTTCGTTACACAGTCTTCAAATTCAAATAAAGCCGTATCTGTAGTGCCTTTTGCTCTATTATGCAGTATTTGTGTTGGGCAATTAGCTAAAGCAGACATTTATTTTCACTTTCCGTTAATTTGTAGATAATGGTGCCTCCCAAAGTTAACATTAGCTTTAGCAAATGATGATGCATTGTGGAAGTTCAAGCCACACTATTCCTTTTTACAGTATTCCTATGCCAGCCCCGACGTCCTCGGGTTGTCTTTGCTTGAAGAGAGTCAAGCGAATAAAGGATCATCCCTTTTTCAGCTGCGCGGTAGCAAACAGCTATCATCAGACACATTTGGATGTTCCGATGGTTTTGAAGTGCCGGCGGCCAGACAGACAACCAACCTGGTCTCAACCAAGTCGTTATGTTCTCAGTTGAAAGAAGAGCCGATATTTTGGCAGCTTATGAAGCTTTTACGGACACGCTGAATGCCTCGGGCAGCAGCCAAGGGGTCCAGCCCTGCTTGGAGCAGGACCAGCTTCAAAGCGGGATCAGGTCATCCAGCGCCGTGCCCCACCGTGGACGGAGGACATCTCCCTGAGGCCGGGGATCCCGCGGCCGCTGTTCCCTGGCTGAGAGCCTTCCTGGTGAGGACTCTGCCCTTGTGCCCGTCGGGATCTCCCATGCTGCAGCCTGTGCCCGCCAGCACGGCTGAGACGAGCCCGGCTCTGTCTTTACAGCCTCCCAGCAGGTACCGGGATGTCTACCAAGATGCACCACTTAGTTATGGATGACTCACATGGCGGGGGGGAAGAACCTGCTGATTTGGTGGTTGGGATCAAATGATCTATGGAGAGGCTATGGATAATTTTATGGCATATCTTTTTTTTCTTCTGACGTAGAAATCTGTCATTTTTCTACATGCTCACCTTTTGTAGCAATAACTTTTTTCCCAAGCGTCTTTTTTCTTAAGAACTATACTAGAATTACTTGAAAGACTTTTTCCATTTTCACATTTTTATTTTAACAAAAAACAACAATAAAACATGGTGGTAGTAATTGCTACCCTTTTGTTGACCACTGCAAAAATTTCAGTGGCTGCTATCAGCATTTTTATATTAATCTGTCAATGAAATTTATTTTTTTTTTTAAAGATTCTTCAAAAATTAGGGCTGTTCTGAGATCCTGCACAAAGGGCTTGGTCCCAACCAACATGGTGGCCGGAGAAAAGGAACAGCCTTCTGCAAAGGCAGCTCAGGCTTAGTGCTGCTGGGCGAGTGAAGGCTCTCAGAGATGCTCCCTCTGCCTTTCTGCCCATTTTCCACCCCCTGCCCCGGGGCGCTGCCTGTTGCTCTACTCCCTGGCCCCAGGCAGGGCTTATGGATCGCTACCGTAAAGCTGAGGACACTCAGATGCCATGCAAATTCACTATTTGTGCCTCTGTCATTAATTAATTTTTCTATGAGTTTCCTTTTGGGAATGCTGTTTCTCACATGGGCCACAGAAGCAAAGAAAAATAAAATAGTGAGTGAGCGTGTGCGCCTGGGACGGTGCCGTGGTTTTATGGCAAAGTCTGAAACTTGGGGCTGTAACTGTGATTTTTTTATTCAGCGCATGCAATTCAATAGGGTCTTCTCGGTTGAATTATGTCTCAATAGAGACATCAGAAAAATATTTTCTTTGTAGTTTTGTAACTCTTTTTATGAAAGCCTTTCTACTTGCTTGAATTTATATGAAAAATGAATTTTAATCGACAGCAACTAATTGTCAAGACCATAGAGTTGCCCTGCAAGGTTTTTTTCACACTTAGGCTGGAAATGAACAATCATAAAGGAACTTGCCAAAGTAAGGAACGCGTCCCTTTACATGAGGAAAAAAGGGTGTCTCTAAGCTCGAGGAGAGTGGGAAATGAAACGGAGATTATCCAGAGGACAATGAATGCCATGCCTGTCACTGGGGCGTTTAGCCACCGGGGATATTTTACCCACTGTTACTCTTGGTAGCCTCCTCTCTCTCTTGTTACCTGCTGCGGGCAGAATTCAATGTGCAAACCATACCAAGAACCAAGTTCTGGCACTTGCAATAATTTAAAAGAACAATATGTCCACACCAGCTTTTGGAGGCATATTTCAATGACTTCCACCTGAGGCGTTGCCTACATGAGGACAAGCTGGACCCTTAATCTGACTCGAGTGAAATTCTGAATGTTCAAGTATACGCAGGATCCTGTATCGCTTACGCTGCCTCTGTTTGAATAGTGGGTTACGGTTCTGACGTTCCTCCCCTTTCCTCCACAGAGATGCACCTGAAGTGGCTATTTTAATGTATGCGCCCCCGCCCCAGGCAATAGAGACGAGAACGATTTGCTGGTGTGAGGGTGCGTATTGTACACTCTGCTTCGCAATGCACTCTGCTGACAGAATCTGGAAGTAGTTCTGCTGTTGCCCTATGCTTTATTTTCTGGTTCTTGTTCTTCTACTTCTTTTGATGCTTGTTCTTGTGCTTTTTCTGCTTTGTTGCCCTCTTCCCCCATTTTTGCTAGGTATGCTGTATTTTTTCAAAACACAAATCTCAGCGTGCAGGTGCACGGTCCTAGGTGTACTAGTGGTACCCTTTAGGTCGGATACCAGCCTTCTGTGCTTCAGAGCAGCGGTGGATTTCTCATTGCCATGAGCACAGTAAACTCAAATTTAATTTTAAAACTTCATTTCCTCAGGTTGGAGACATGTTTCTTTCTAGAACCGCATCTACCTTGTTTCTTTAATTGTTCTCTCTAAAATTATATGGTTTTCTGTTTTAGAATTGCATATCCAAGACTTGAACAAGAAATTAAAGGTATTTGTTGAATTTGAACTTTGCAGCACTTCTCCAATCATAGTTAAAATCTTGATACACTAATTTAACAAATTTCCTAATTTTAAAAGCTTGGTTTTAGCACCCTCTAGAACAGTACCTAATGCTGTTGCTTCTTTTGCAACCGGCTCCGTCTCCCTTGTTTCTTACGGCCACAGAAATGCAGACCAAGGTAAATTAAGGGACCGTGATTATAAGGACTTCTGAAAGATCCAGTAGTCACCAGCTAAACCGTATCATAAAAAGAACCGAGCTATGCCAACAAGTGAAGTCCCTGGAAAAAGCCTGGAAGCAAAATGGCTATAATTAAAACCTGAAAGCAGCAACTTCATAAAGAAGTAAACGAAGAGGTGGGCTCTTTGTAAATGATGATCTAAAAAGTGTTTTGGGTTGTGAGACCTCATTTCAAATGTATTCGTTAAATAATATTTGAATCATTTAACAGTTTGAACTCTACTGCACTGCTAATATCTTCAGGGGATTTTTTTTTTCAGTAACAAAGAAGTCTTTGTTCCTGCTCTATGCTTGGGCTGTGCCTTGGATATTAGTTGGAAACCCGATAGCCTGACATTGCTAGAAGTCTGCGAGTACAATGTGAGTCGTCTGCAACCGGGATTAAATCAGGCCTTTTGTACCAAGATGCTGAGGGGCCATGTGATCTGGGAGAAGCGATGGTTATGGATGGCAGGAGATTTTTAACCCTTTGTGCCTGTTGCGGGGCGCGGGGGGGGTGGGGGTGGGGGGTTGCCGCTGCGAGTGTTTGCAGGGGAGGCGGTGGCCAGCGCTGCGCAGGGGTAGCCAGGGCTGCTGCGTGTACCAATCGGTAGTGCGCCTGAGTAATTCCTGTCAAAAAAGCAAATAATGCCTTACGTGGAGCGGATGAAATCCAGCCCCGTGTGAAGGCCCAGGTGGAGCTGGGATCCCTGGCCAGGGGTGTACAGGCACCTACCCGCAGCACTGGATCCCCTCTGCTCCGCTCCCCGCCCTGCGCAGCCTGCTGGGGCTGGCTGCTGGGGGGGTCAGCGCTGCCGCCCCGAGCGCGCGCTGCCTTTGGGACGGCTCTTCACCAGTTCATGTGAGCAGAGGCACTTTTTTTTTGAACTGGACAAGTCAGGACTATGAGCCAAGGTTCACCAATGACTCAGAAACGTGAGTCATTCTGTAAAATCTTGTGAAGTAACATGATAAATAATAAATACTGGAGTATCTTTATTTTCCTGGTGGCTTTGAATTCTGGGCACCATGTTCTCAAGTGTTCCTCTCGCCCGCAGGACGTGGAGCGTGCTCTTCAGCCGAGACCGGGAGGTTGTGTCCCTTACGCAGGGAGCATCAGGAACAAGAGCATTACCAAAGACCCGAGGGTCGGTGGTGGGAACATACTGGCAGTGTTCAGCGGGCATTAGACGACAGTGAAAACTGGAGGATGCTCAGACGCGCGGCCCTGAGGAAGCTTGTCCAGGATAGGCCAATCTGGTCCACGCTGGGTGAGTGACTGCGAAACAGCGACATCTAAAACCGCATCCAGCAGCCCCCGCTGCTCCCCCAGCGCAGTCCGATTCCGCCTGGGCAGAAAAACGCTGTCTTGCAAGTGACGGAAGGGAAGGACTTGCAAACGCAGCGTGTAAAATGTCATGGGATTTCAGGATGTAAAAAGGAAGCACTAAGGTGAACGCTCTCGTGAAGCTACCGCTTAGGGAAAATTAAGTCATCAGGACTTTACAAAATAGCCTCTGGCTCTCTCCTTTCACAATAGTTCAATTTACAAGATGATGAAAAATGAATTAACTTTAGTGGTTTGCTGGCATCACCCACAGTGAGCTAGACTTTCCAGATGCTCAAAGATCATTCCTTTTTTTTCTTACATAAATTCCCACCTGGTTCAAGTTTAAGAAAACAACAGAACAAAGTCAATCATACAAACTCCATCATAAAATACCACGGAGAGTTAAATACCGATTATCCGTATAGAGAGGTACCATTTTTTATTTATGTTTCACTGAGTTATTTTAGGAAATATAAAACTTTTACTGTTCCTGCAGCCAAACTAATTATTTTTTTCTGTATATGTGATCTAATTTCTTTTTTCTCCCCCTCCACCCCCCCCAAATGTGTAACCCTACAGTGTGTGTTTTAGAGATGGGGAATTTGAAGGGGGGGGGGGGGAAGCCCAAGAGGTATACTTTAGTACAATTATCATAGACGGGAAAATTTGCTTTAGCATTTCCTAGCATTTTTTACTAACCGTATCATCTCAATCTTGTATTATTTTAGCACTATCCTGTTTTTTAGTGATCTAAATTAGAATAATTTAAATGTGTTCAACATGTACACCTAAGTGCCCCATATGCTGTAAAGGTTTTCACCTAACTGACATAAATGGGACTCAATATACTTAACTGATGCAAAAAAGCTGTTTGCAGCAATGGAAAAACATACCGATATTATGAAAATATCATGATCCATACTGAGGTGCCTGAAAAACCAAACAGGAAAAATATACAGCTAAGGTTGCAGAGATGTAAAGAAACTAAACCAGGCAACCAACCTTGCAGAAGAAGCAGAGGAACATCCTTGTAAAGGGCTGAGTTCTGAAATCGCGGCTGATCTCTGCGGGAAACAACTGGAACAGTTTTAGTCCCTTAACTCTTATTATTCAGTTATGCATTTTTTAAAATGGGAAGCAGTCAAGTGTCTGAAGGAATTTGGTTCAAACTTTCCAGAAAACAACATTGCTGGCAAAACTAAGCATGAAATATTTACATCGGTAAGGTGAACTTTTCAGAAACTGAATGCAAATCAGGTTTTACAGATGAAATTTTCTTTAATCTCAATTACAAAATAGTCACCTCCAGACATTCAAGTAGGGAAGGACGAGAAGTGACAGAGGAGGTCGGATCCCCGGACATCTTTACATGCCACCTTTCAACGCAATCCCCAGTGCCACCCGGCTTGAGAGGTCAGCGGTGTGATTGTCCCCGGAGCAAACCCCGCGGGAGCCTGCTAGACCCCTGTGTGACACAGCCCTTCGCCCGCACCTGGCCGGGCCGCTGTGGGCACAGCCCGTGCCACGTGGGGCCCGGGGATCTGCACCCTTGCCAGAAAGGAGCATTTCCGTACCCAAAACTCCATACCATTCTCGGGAACTAAAGCAGGTGCGCACAAATAAACATCATCTCTGGAGGAACACCTTCCCTCGTGATCCTGCTCTGCATTCGCTGCACTGTCAAGCTCATCTAATGATTTTAAATATTTGCCTTTTGAGTTGGTCCAGTCACCGTGTTCGCTATAAGTTTGAGAGGGAGGAGATGCAATAGTTTCCCTAACTGTTCCAGGCAGAGATGTTGAAAACCTTCCCAATAATGTCAGCCACCAGCCTTAGAGACCTGCCCTTCAAAATATTCAAATTCCTTTCATTGAATATCCGGGCTAGGATAAGAAATCACTGCCAAGAAAAACCCATCAGCTTTTTTGCAAAGTAACTGCTGGGAGCCCATGCTCTAAAGGCAGGACTCGTCACTTTGGCTGGTACGCAACGTGTAGCGGCAACCAAATGCTTTTTTGTGTTGTTCCAGATGGCTGCACTACAAACACTGTGGAGGTTATTTAGTAGCTAAAATTTATATACCTGAAGCCTGACATATTAATGAAATGGCATCTTTATAGAGCTGGGGGTATAAACACCACAGAAAAGTAAGATGTGGTTTTGCTGGATGGAAGGGTTTAAAAGGCTTCTTGCTAATGGCTAGCTGGGCTAAAGTTTTTCTAGCATATGGGCTTGTTTTGTACAGTTTATGTGGTGGTTTCTTCATTAGATTCTCAGTGGTAATAAGCCCACACAGTTGATTGCTGCAGGGAGAAAAAAAAAATCATGCTGAATAGGTTTGCTGAATAATTATGAACTGAGCTGAACTCTTACATTTGTTTACTAATTGTATGGTTCGTGATGTTTTATGTATGATGCATTCATTTTGTTAAAAAGGATTTTTTTTTTTTGCTGAGCAGCAACTTTTCTCAGTGCAAGTTAAACTGGCACGGTGGAAAGAGCTGAATTCAAGTCTGATGAATTGATGTTGTTTGAATCTTTTTTTTTTTTTTTAAAACATCAGCCCCACCATTTGGTTTTCAGCGCTTGCAATATGAAACCCAAAATTGTGCTATTGTCTTGAGAGTTGAAATAAATGAATCCCCTCAACTTTGGATTTGGCAGGAGCAATTACTATTGTTAATTTAGAAAATAATCCCCTGCAGCTACAACTATTTAAATAATGCCTTTCCCTGCTTCCCCCAAGATGACCAAAACCCAAAGACTGAAAGTAAAAATATGTTTTGTAAAATATACTTTTCACTACTTGGTACAATTTGAGAGAGGCTTCCTTCTACTTGGCAGGGCGACTGGGACCCTTCGCGACCGAGTGCTCCCGACTGTGCTGCTCACGGTCCGGCACCCTCGCGCTAGCGCACCCCAGCACCACACCGGAAAGCCGGGAGGTGCACGGCAGGTTGGCAGCCCCAGGGCGTGTTTAGCTCAGAACATGTTCCAAGTTAGAAACCAGGGTTGAGCTGCCTTCCGACGTTTAACAAATAGTGAATGTTTATACCGTGAGCCTGTAGAACACTGCAGCTAGTATAGGACCGTACCATTTCAATCAACTCACTGTTTTTACTGTCAAAATATTTAGGCTGATATTATTTCCATATTTGCCATCGGCCAGTTATATACTACTCCTGAGCTGCAGCTGGATCCGTGCAGCGCTGCTGGTGAGTTACCGTGCTGAAACTTTCAGTCTTAAAATTTGCTCCTGGAAGATAGTGATGCTGAGGCCAGCGGCGGAGGAGCAGAAAAGCCTTTTGGTGAAGCAGTCCAGGGAAGGAGCGAGCGGTTAGCCACAGCTTGCAGAATACAGCGGCAAGCCTCGCCGCTGGCCCTGGCACAGACACCTGGGGCTCCTGCTGGTGGGCACAGACCAGAAAGGAGGAGAAAGGAGGATTAACGCTTGCCCAGAAGCATTTGAGATGGTCAGCTCACGGACCAAGGAAGTCTCCATCCCTCTAATTGTATTCTCCCTCACAGCATCATTCTGCTCTTCCAGAGAGACAGTGCTTGCTCCGCTTCAACAAACGGATTCTGAATCTCCCAGGAAATGCAAGGTGAATCTTCTAAATCAGTAAAAATCTGTCTTTTCTGAAGCATTTGGTCTCTTCCCTGGAAGCCAACGTTACAGGAGGTATCTGTGAAAGGCACCTCTCCCTGCTTTAGGAAAGAACTGTGATTTCAGAGAGGCTTTAGGTCCTTTCACATCAGCAAAAGTAATTCTTCACAGCAGAAATCCAGCCGCCTCACAGGAGCAAGTAACTTTCTTCCATGCCACTTTTGATACAACTTTCATCGTATCTGCGGTGCAGAGAGAACAGACCATTTCCCCAGAGAAGTACCTGTATATAAACACAACGATAAAGCCGTGATAAAAAGGATCAACTACAAATGAAACCCACCATGATTACAACAGTAAGTAATTATCTCCAATAATACTCCCGACAGATATATTGTCCAACTGGCATGTGGTATCTTACATGGAAAGTATCTTTTTATGCCACCCTAGAGTGGATGCACTGGCAGAAAATGGATTCTGGCTGAGATGAAAGCAGTGTTACTTCTCCGAGGTGGATGCTTCACTCCCTGATCTGTCCCAGCGAGGCTGATCACGTTCCTTGCCCACGTTAAAGACTTACCAGCCAGAGAGCCTCAGCCCTATTGTGCCATTCTGTACTGGTAGGACTGGCATTAAAATGCCGATATTGTTTTGGTTTACAATGCTCTTACTTGTTCTGTTGCGCTTGCTGTTTTGATTGGCACTCTTAAAATTAATCCAGCTTTTTTCCTTTGCTTTTTTTTAAATAATCCAGTTTTAAAATTGGATGCTATTTTGGCCAGAAAAATACTGGATAATAAATGAATGCCAATTTACATAACAAATCATTACCATTTCAAGGCAATAACGAGTTAAAGGGAAGAGCCGAGTGCATGCCAGATCTGTGCACAGGGACGAGCTGGGGTACCACCTCTCTGTGCAGCACCTTCATGCCCCTGCAGGCTTGCCCTTGGCAGCCACAACCCGGCACTCGCCAGACCTACTGCTCTTACTGTTTGGAAAACATCTCCTTGGGAGCAAAAGCCCGAGCACATTAATGCCGCTCTTATGAGGTATAAAATTCAAAAAATTCCATTATGTGACAGAGAAATCACTCCCGTACTAATAGATGAGTCTCCTCAACGAAAGCGTCCTCCTCTTCCTGCGCTCAGGGAACGGTGTTACATCTACCATGAGCTTTGTGTCCAGCGCATGCCCGCCTTCCTGCCCACGGAGCCCGCACACCGAGGCCAGCACGGGGTGCGGATACGCCACGCTTTCTTCGCTGCAAGCAGCCCCTCACCCGACCCCAGCTTGAACGGAGGGAGTCGGGAGGCACTGCGGGTACACGCCGGGCGCGTTTCCCAGAGCGTAGTGCAGCAAGGGGGCTCGTGTGCTTCAGGAACTGGTTTCTCTGCTGGGACACAGCCTGACTCCCGTGAAAGTCAGCAGAGGTTGTTTGAGTGTCTAAAGAGGGGTTCTGGGGGAGCTGGGACAGGCCGTGGGCAGGCGAACCATCAAGATTTCCCTCTCCAGCGAGCCTGCGGTGGCTCTGGGGTGAGCGGGGCCGAGCCCTGACGCCAAAGCAGGGACCCCTCCAGGACCCAGCTTATGGGTGGCGTTCATCATGTTAATCACCGCCCTGCCCAGATGCGTGCAGCCCTGAGGGGAAGGCGCTTGCTCCTGGGCCTGGAGCCGTCCTGCACCGACTGAGGCAGCCCAAGGGGGCCCCGAGGGGGCTCTCCCTAGG